AACCCATCTTTCTGTTTTTTGGGACAAAAGACTGAGGCGGGAAAAGAGTGCACAACTCATTCATACAAAGTTCAACTAAAATAAAACTTGAGATGCGTAGCATTCCAAGTTCACGGTATAGGTTTGCCGTTGAGTTCTTCCAATCTATAAGCTCCATTTCCCAAGTCTTCTGTAACTCGGAAGGGGCCACCCCAAGTGGGTGCGAGTTTCCCATCTGACGTGACCTTTCTTGCTTCGCATAGTAATTGCCATACCAAGTCACCTACTCGGAACGAGCGAGGTTTTACTCGGGTGTTGTATCTTCGGGAAGCTTGGAGCTTGCAGGCTTCTTCGTGGATTTGAGCTTCGTCTCTAAGCTCGTCCACAAAGCCGAGGTCAGCTGCCAGTTCTTGGGCATTCTGTTCGCCGTTAAAGGCTTGGCGCCTGTGGGATTTTTTGCCGACTTCTACTGGGATCATTGCGTCAGCTCCGTAGGTCAGCTTGTAAGGCGTCTCTTGTGTAGTTGACTGGGGGTACAATGATACGCCTAGAGGATGCTGGGAAGTTCATCGGGTCACTGTCCTTTGGCGTTTCCTAGTCGCTTTTTGAGTTCCCAGAGGATGACCTTGTTGGCGGCTTCGGCCTGGCCATTGGTCTGGGGGTGTTCCACCGAGGTCAAAAGGTGTTTGATTCCGAGTTCGCGGAGGAAGTCCTCGAATTCTTGTGCGATGAACTGTCGGTTGTTGTCTGTGACGAGGGCGTGAGGGATTCCGAACCTGCAGATGATGTTCTTCCAGGTGAATTTCCGCACATTTTCGGTGGTGATCTTGGCGAGTGGACATGCTTCAATCCACTTGGTGAAGTAGTCGATCGCCACCAAGAGGAACTTTAGTTGGCCTTTCGCAGGGGGGAATGGCCCGAGGATGTCCATTCCCCACTGGGAGAAAGGCCACGTCGACATCATGCGGTGGAGAGTTTCGGGCGGTTGTCGGTGTGCGTTGCCAAACTGCTGGCATTCTTTGCATTTTTGGATGTGGCTTTGGCAATCCGACTTCAGAGTGGGCCAGTAGTACCCAGCTCGGAGTACTCTGGTTGCCATTGAACGCGCCTCGGAATGCATGCCGCATATTCCCTGGTGAATTTCCTTGATGACATAGGCTGCTTGCGATACAGTCAGGCATTTGAGCAGTGGAGAGGAAACGCCACGCTTGAATAATTCATCTCCGATGATGATGAACTTGGCCGATCTCATCCTTATCTTCTGAGCTTCGTCTTTATCCTCGGGCAGGATTCCTTCTTTCAAGTAGCCCCAGATGCCTGCCATCCATCCTAGGTCCTCGTTGTCACTGACGTTGATGACCTTGTCATCTAAGCTGGGTGAGTGCAAGGTTTCCTGGATGATGGTTCGGTGCTGTCCAGGCCTTTTGGTGCTGGCGAGCTTCGATAGGAGGTTGTAGAATCATGCAAATGAAATTGGCCAAGAAGTTTTTGTAAATGACTTTTTCACAATAGAGTTCGTAACCTTTCTCTGAAAAATTATAGGAATTTATAGACAATTGTTTCCTAGGTTATGTCTTTTCATGAAGAGTTGAAACTCTCTATAATTTTGCAGAAAAGATTCTCTGGTAATCGATTACAATACTTGGTAATCGATTACAACGGTTTTTAAGTTCAAAATTTTTGAAATGTTGTATTATTTAAATTCAAAATTTGAAAATTTATCTTCTGGTAATCGATTACCATAACATTTTGTATTCAAAACTCAAACTTTGAAGTTTCCTTGCTCTAGTAATCGATTACATAAACTGGTAATCAATTACCAGACAAATATTCTTATATTTGTTACACAAACTTTTGATTATAGGAAACTTCTAATTTTCATTCAAAAATATTTTTGTAAAATCTTTTTGAAAACTCTTTATGCTTTCTTTTCAAACAACTTATTCTTAAATTCTAAAAGATTAAGTTTAAGTTTTCTTGAAATTCTAATTTTAATGGCCAAGTAAAATTTGCAATACTTTTAAATGTTCATTTTACATATTAAGCTAAATAGTCAAGACTTATCTAGATGTTACTTGAAATTTTTCTCCTTGATCAACTTGCTTTATCTTTACCTTTTGTTTTCTACAATTGCTTTGGCATCATCAAAATCTTCTACATATGTTCTTCCACATTCTCCCTCTTTTTGATAATGACAAAATACTGTAAATGGAAAGAAACATAAAACAATGTATATCGATCACTCCCCTTTTGAAAATCATTGTTTGATGTTAATTTTATTTTATAAAAAGATTTGTATTTAAATAAATAGTTCAAATCATAAAAGTCAATTTTTGATCAGGATTCATAAAAAAGAATTATAATTTCTTTTCCCTTATTCTTCTTTCGTTTTCCTCTCCCTTTTTGGCAACATCAAAAGGAATGAGACAACAAAAAATATCGAATGAGATAACAAACACCAGTCAGAATAGAAGTGAAAAACAAATATGTCCCAATATCGAAGTAGTTAGAGTCAAACTGCAGAAAATCCTAAAACACACTTAAAACCAAGAGTTTAGAAATTGATTAAAAGTAACCCAAAACATAAGGTAAACTAAAAGAAAACTATCAGAACCAAAGTTAGCTAGCTATTCAGAAGGGCGGCGAAGAGATTTTACTTCATCCTCAAGATGAGTCATACGAGTGTCAAGGGAATCAAGCCGTTCACCAACTTAGAAACGAAGATTTCTAATCTCATTGAGAACATTCGAGAGAAGTGCTGATTAAGGATCCTGAGGAGGTGGTGAAGGAGTTCTATCATCAGGATCAACAGCTTGAAAATCCCGCTTCCTGACCCAGGTGTTTTCCAATGTCTTCTTGTATCCAAAAGAAGCAATCGTAGTGGCCCCAATCTCAAAGGACCTCTTAACTAGAACCCATGCTTCATTATCCAGAGGAACATTAAAATGTTCCAAAATAGTAGTGATAAAGTGTGGATAAGGAAGAGAAGCATTAACCCGTAAGCCCTTATTCATACGACTCCTAATCAGATGAGCCCAGCTAAACTCCCGGCCAGTTATTAGAGCCTGTGGAAGAAAATATGCACAAATGTTTTAATGATGCCAAAGTGATTATAAAGCATTGAAGAAGAATCAAGGTTGATCTAAAGCAAGTTGATGCAAGAACAAGATCTCAAGCGTTACATAGATAAGTCTTGTCAACTTAGCTAAGAATGGGTTCTGTGTGAGGTTGTATGAGAGAGTGGGGGACGTCTAATCTGAGGAACGTTGGCCAATATAGGATGTCGACTGAGCTCCCTTGGTCGACCAGGGTCTTGTGAACCTCCCAATTGGCTAATCCCACGGTGATAACCATGGGATCATCCTAGTTGGGGTTGACCCCGGCATAGTCATCGTCGGTGAAAGTGATCGTCAGCGAGCTCTGGTGCGAAGTAGAGGTGGTGAATTGTATGCGGTTGACGTTGCGCAGGTGTTTTTTCCGGGCCAAGCTGCTGGCTCCCCCTCCTGCGAAACCTCCTGCAATTGTGCTGATCACTCCTTGTGGGGGAGTTGATCCTGCTTCCTGAGCTACCTCAGCTCGCATTGCTCCGCCGGGGTTGGGTTGAGAGCCGGAGGGATGATCAGAGTGTCGCCGCTGGGGTTGAGCGCGAATCCTCTTGTTTTCCGCGCACAGAGCCGCTAGGTCAGCCTCATTAGCGGTACGCAATGCCGCTAGGTCAGTGTCGTGCTTGGCACGCATGATTTGTAGGTCGGCGGCGTGTTGCTGCCGCATCTGTTCGACCTGGTCGATTAATCTTCTCAACGCTGCTTCGTTATCCATGGTAGTTGAGTGGTTTGCGTCGTCTGTTGTGCGTCTACTATGGCTTCTGGTGAAAACCATAAGCGTGGCCGATAAGAGCTGTCTTGATCGGCCCCACGGTGGGCGCCAAATGTTCTTACCACAGTGGGCGCCAAATGTTCTTACCAGAAATCTGCTGTAAAGCTGATCCGCCAGGTAAGATCGGTGAGCCTCCTTCACGGGTACGCTGGTGCTCCAAGATGGGGGTGGTACCTACAAAAGAGACTCTGATGCTAAAGTTAGTGTTTGTGGGAGTATGAATTTCGTATAAGTAATGCACGTACCTTAGTGTGAATTAGGGTTGCTTTGGGCCTTGGGCCTGAGATAAGATATGATAGGATTAAATGGCGGATCTCGTCTGAAGCGAGATCCCTCGAGATCGGTTATGATCTGCTTAAATGCCGAGCTGACGTCGCGTAGTGCGTGCCCGACCTCATTCTGTGCTGTGATGCCGAGCTCGGAGCTCGGCTTCGCGGTACGGACAGTACACTATTTATTGTATATGATCCATTTATAATTATTATAAAATATATATTAAAATAAATTATCATCTAAAAATATATATTAAATATTAAAAACATGTTTATATCATAAATAAATTAAACTTGGTTTTTATAAAATTTAACATATTTATTTTATATTTTTAATAGTGTTAAATTATTATAAAGTAGGTCTTTAGAATTGTAGTTCTAACCAAATATTTAAAAAAATGTCTATGATAGATAATTAAGTCATACTTAAGATATATAATTTTAAAGAAATTTTGGTTCAAACCTATTAAATTATAATAAAATTTAGTCTAACCTAATTTATTTTCATCTTTACTTGTAATCGTAAATATAAAAGCTTGTAAAAAATAATTATGATATATATATTTATGCTTTTAAAAGTTATATATGGATATTTTTAATACTATAAATATATGAATAAGTATTGTCCTCGCTATCTAAAATTTCTAGATCCGTCACTATATATATATATATATAAACATGCTACATTGCTCTATTCGCAAGTAAAAGGACCACAATTTATCAACAAAAAACAAAAAAGTAAAAATATCACATAATGTCTGTTTATTCCTTGTTACATTATTTTTGCACAGTCTTTTTATTCAAGATTGCTCGCAACATACAAAGATTCAAATTTCTGTTCCACGGTTTTCTATTTATAAAATTCCATCACTCCTAGCGTATACCTGGGATATCATTACATGCAACATGAAATTTGGAAAAACCAGAGCTCTTGCACAACTTCTCAAATTCATTCTCAGTTCTTTCCTTTCCACCATGTGATAAAAACATGTGACTATCAACAATAAAAGTGCGCTTAGATGTGTTGCTTGAATTCGGGACCTCAGAAATAATAACATCCAAAACAATCACTTTTCCATGTGGTGGCAAGGCTTTGTGACAATTTCTTAAAAACTTTACACAATCTTCATCTGGCCAATTATGACATATATACTGAAAATGGCCAAAGCCAACAAAAGAAGAAAATGTTAATAGAAATTTATTTAAGTTATATTGACTTGTTTAAAACTATATATAAAATTGAACTCGCAAGTAGTTTACTAACCTTTAGTAAAATGGCATCACCATTTGTAACACTTTCAAACATATCTCCTCCAATATGCTTTATACCTTCATGCAAAATGAGTGTTTGCTAATTAATAATTTTGGTAAAACATTTTCCATGTATATGTCTTTTCGACCCATCTTTTAAAATATTTGTAGGGTTTTTTATATATAGAGAGGAAGAGAAATAACTATATGTACCTGGATGAGGTGGTGCATCCTCAATCGTCTGAGGCAAATCAAAATTAATTCCTTTAATCGAAGGATATGCAGAGAGAATTAGTTTTAAGGTCCCTCCAACTCCACCTCCTACATCAACCAGTGTTGAAACTCCTTCAAATCCTTTGTATGAGTTGAGTACCATTTTAGTTTCTATTGGGCCAGTGTGAGCCATTGCTTTGTTAAACATGTCATTCAGCTCCTCATTTCTCCCCATATATTCAAATGATGGCATTCCATAGACACTTTCGAAATGGTTATTGCAATTAGGATCCACAATTGCATCCTTCACATCCGTCCTATTAAGAAACATGACAAAAAGTTATACTAAAAATCCATGAGATGTATCATTGTAGAAAAAAGTTTTTAAGTACCATAAACTTAATTACCATAGGTCATGAAATACGCGATTCATTAAAGTTGTGAAAGGAGCCACAGAGATTCCATCATTATCAAAAGCAAAGTATTTGCCAACGGGTGAGAGAGCATAAACTCTTTCTGTCTTACCATCTTGATTGGTTCGAATGGAGCAATCCAGAAGAGAATAACTGGCTAGAAGTGGCAAGATGCGTTCAAGCCTATTAGGCAATTGAGGGGGTTGATTTGGAAGCAAAGAAGCAATTTGAGAGGCAGATAAAGATGCATGACATGAACTCTCTGCCTTTGCTATGATATCTGTTATGAATTTGAAAAAAAACAAACAAAAACAGAAACATAATATACACAGAGACAGAGAAATATAAATGCGAAAGAAAAGAGGAAGAATACAATGGATTTACGTGGTTCACCCACAAAATTGGGCTACGTCCACGGGAGGAGCAGAAACATATTTTATTGCTTAATGAAGTACAAGAACCAGCAGTTTAAAGAAAGAAAGCTTGGTGACCTTGTATAACATGGGTCAGCCAAAGCATATTCTGATCAGGAAACAAAACAAATAGAAATAACGGAATTAACGGTCAAAAGCACGAACTGATTCGTCACTTTGTTTGTGGATCTAAGTCAAAATACCAACAATTCTCCATCTTGAATTAGAATCCACATACAAACTTTAAAACAAAAACAGAATCTGCATCCTCCAAACATATGGAACTATCTCCAACAATCAACATTTAGCAAGTCCAAGCAATGGTCAAACTTGCGCTTTGGGACTGGCTTTGTGAACATATCAGCAGGATTGTGTAAGGTGCTGATCTTGTGAACCTTAATTCTCCTTTCTGATCGGATGAAGTGATATCTAACATCTATATGCTTGGTTCTATCATGATGAACTTGATCTTTGGTCAAGCATATAGCATTGAGGCTATCACAGTAAATGTCAGTATGCTCTTGATTGATTCCAAGATCACTTATAAGTCCTTTTAACCAGATTCCTTCTGGCCACAAAAAGAGACCTTGAAATATTTTTCGAACATATTGAAAGTATACAAAAAACTCAAAATCTTATCTTTAATAAGATTAAGGAGTTAGAAGACAAACTTGATAAAGCCTTAGTGTTAATCAAAACAAAACCCATAAACGAAGAACTTGATAAGATCTCCAATCAGCTTTCTAAACTAAGTTTAGGAAATAACACAGGAAATCCATCTTCCAAACCCAACACAAACAAATACATTCTTGCTAAACCAAGAAAATGAATTTTAATACAAGAACCCAAACACAAACTTTTCCTTTCACAGGAACATCACAAACCCTTTCGGGACACACACCAATTGCTGAAGCAATTAACCAACAACCTAGAATCCTATATAGATTTCTTAGGCGAACAAATTCTAACACCAGACAGTTAGAAGAAATAATTGATATACAAACCAATGTTGAAATTGGAACAAATTCTAGGATAGATTCTTTAAATCCTAGACAATTATACAATCTTAATTGGCTTAGTTCTGACAGAACCAGTCTTTATAGGTATCGTCGGTTAGATGATTTTCATCTTCCTGATGGACACCATGAGATTATCCGATTAATCTCTGAACAAACGGGTAGAAAATTACTCAGAACCAATAGAAGATATGTTCATTTAGGACTAATCACTATAGGGATTAGAACCCTAACCCGATCTTTTATTGGTGCAAAAGCATTCCTAGTTCTTTTCGACCAAAGATTTAGGGATAACAACTCACAAGCTGTAATAGGGATAGTAGAGGTAGATCTTAACCGATCTGTATCCCTTATATACATTGCTCCAAATTTTACTATGAATCTTGCATATTTCATACAAAATATAAATTTGGAAGTACAAACCAGAGGCTTTGGAGAAAATTTTGATGGAAATAATCTCCACCTTGATATCACCTTTATAGGTAGAATAAGTGATCAAATATCCCCTAGATATAGGATCAATACAAACCCTTTGATTACCTCTTTAGGATCAAACGGAATACAATTCCTTCCCCCTCAGGTTTTTGAATCGAGAAGGAACCCAGGAATAGAATGGCAAACACATCTAAACTCTGGATCTTCCAGAACCGCAATCACAGCACCTCAGACTTCCATTATGACAAATTGGAGAAATAGTCTCTCAATCAGATTTGCTGATTATGAGAACATCCAAACTCCTGACCAAGAAGAGGTTGTTGAAGAAGAAGAACAACCTTCTAGAAGGTCTTTCATGAACCTATGGATTGGTGAATCATATATTCATGAATCTTGGAAAACAAAACAGGCTCCACCAGAATCCCAACTCTCTCCTAAATTATTAGCAGCAGTAGAAAAATGGGAAAAACAAAAACAAGAACAAACTTTTGATAAAGTTTCTTTTCAAAATTATGAAAAATAAATTGTTTTACAAAGTTATAAAAATGAAGATACTGATGATGAAGAAGATGACTTCATTTTTATACAAAAATTATTATCCCAAGTTAATAATGAAATTTGCGATGAAACTCCAAATCTGGATTTAAAAGAAACTCTAGATTTGGACCTCACAAATTGGTATAATAATGAAATAAATTTCAAAGAAAAATTACGCCTTGATATGATTGAAACACAAACAGAAGTCTCTGAATCACCGTCTGAAATTTCTAAAACACAATCTTCAATAAAAACTTGCAAAGGTTTTATGGGAGATAATTACACAAGCAGTAGTAGTTTCCCTAGTCATATTCATCATTTTGATTATGGAACAGAAAATTATGATTTAGGATTTATTCCTAGAGAACAAATTATTACTCCTTTCGATTATACCATAGGAGATAATATAAAATCAAAAGGAAAGAGATTGCCTATTGAACCCAGTTTTGATATGTCTTCTCTTTTATTAAACATAGGAAAGGTTGATCCTCAACTTTTACCTAATTACATAGAACAGTGGACTGCTGTTGTAAAGAAACTACAAAATCCACCATGAAAACCATGTTTCTAATGGAGAAGAAATGATTGCCAGAGCTGAAACATATCTCGGTGATATTGCTAAAGCTTGCTGGGAATCTTTTAAGAAACAATATCCTGAACAAATTAGAATAAATCTAATTGATCCAGGACCGAATATCTACAATTTCTGTAGTATGATACAAAGAATCTTTACAGCTCAGTCTGTAAATGATGGAAATATCATTAGACAAAAAATTTACCTTGGTAATCTAGAAAAACTTTCTATTAGTTACTTTGGTAAAATAAAACAATTCACCCAAGATTATCTTATGTATGCTTCCATATCTGGAGGCTTCACAGATAGGAATCTAGGTGAAAAACTGTTCCTTAAACTTCCTGGTAAGTTAGGACAAAACATTAGAGATAGTTGGAATGACGATCAAGTTGACCCAGTTATGAACAATTTGGTTGTACGAATACAACATATTATGAAAGTAATGGAAGATACTTGTACAAATATAGCCATTAACAAACAAATAAAAATGGTTGACGCAGATATCTGTAAACAGATATACACGCCACAACAATACCACAAAGAGGTTAGAAAGAAAAGAAAACCGCAACAAAGATATTCTTCTCCTCCTAAAAATTCTAGGACTAGAAGAAAACAACCTACTCGTAGGTATTCTATTAGAGCTTCCAATGCCAGAAAACCTACTCTTAATAAAGACAAACATGTAAGAAAAATAAAAAATGACAAAACATATACTAAGCAATTAGAATGTTTTGCTTGTCATCAAACTGGACATTATTCCAGAGATTGTCCTAATAAAGCCAATCTTTTCACAAGAGAAGCAGAATTAATAAAGAACTGTAGGATGAATCTTATTCCTATAGATGAAACTGTTTCAACTGATTCAGAAATATATTATGTAGTTAGTTGGTCTAATTACACTTCTGAAGAAGAAGATGTAATTAAAGATTATAAAATCATAAACGATTTCACAAAAAATGAATATGATCATTTACATCCTGAAATAAATGACAAATATAATCATTATGGTGAAATTATTGATGATCTAGGTTATAATCTCATGAATATTTCAGAAGAACAAATAACTTGTGATCATGAAATTCAATTTTTTACAGGACCAGAGCATATAGAATGTCATTTCTGTAAAAGATTTTTACACATAACATTAAGGGCTCATTGCCCTGAATGTTATAAAAACTTCTGCAAAAATTGCTTTGAAATTTTTTATAAAAAAGGTTTTCCTAATCAGAAACAAGCAAATGATAAAAATGATTGGAAAAATGACCTTATCAATAAAAGAGTATCTGTTTTAAAAACTAGGCTAAATCAGATGGAAAAAACAGTAGATTTTCTATACGAGAATTTTGAAAATCAAAACAAAGTCATAAATCATGAAGAAAGATCTTCAAGTGGATTAATGGCATTACAAAATAAAAATTGCATTCCTATAATTTGCAATAAAAATCCAAATACAAGTTTACATATTTTGGTTAAAATAATTTTTCCCAAAACTGATAAACACAAAAAAACTGAAAAGGTAATATAGGCTCTTGTTGATACGGGAGCTACATTTACTTGTTTTTGTAAAAGTATTGTTCCTGAGCACAATATTTTTGCAAGTAAAAAAATAACGAAAACCAGAGCAATGACTGGTGATCTTATTATTAATAATCAAGAAACAAAAAATTTTACAATTCAGTTATCTACTAATTGTGATATTTTTGGACAAAAAATATTTATGCCAAAAGCAAATGTTATTGACTTAATACCTACAGGAGAACAAATGGTTTTAGGCCTTGATTTTATAATTGTTGAAAATAGGTCTATTACAATTACAAAAGATTATTTGCTTATTTCAAATAATTCTCAAATGTCACCTATCGTTGATGAATTAGCATCAGAGTTGCGATCTAAGCGTGGTGATACCCCCCCCCCCCCCCCAAAACCTACTACTGATTGTCCTTGTGAAATCACTGGATGTTGTAAAATAAAAGTGACAGATTCCCAAAATTTTAAAAATTTAGAATCTGACTTTCCAGAAGTTGATAATCATAATAATGATATCAATAGTTATTATGATTTATCCCTTCTACAAATGGATATAGATTGTTATAATTTCGCTAAAATTAATAAAGTTATAACTTTTGATAATATCCAACAAATAATTGACAGGCTTAACAAAACTAGTATTATAGGAGAAGATCCTACTAAATATTGGGAAAAAGATCCAGTTATTTGTAAACTAGAAATTATCAATCCAGATTTGATAATTAAAACAAAAGAGATCCCTTATGGGAATTTTGAACAAGAAGAATGT